GTGTATCGGGGGTTTCGAGAGCTTATAATGATAATTTGGAGGGTTTTGGCTATTGTGTTTCGGTGCGAAGCTCGTTCGGAATTATTGTTGATTATTATGAGGCATGCGGTGCACGTTAGCGTTTGATTTGAATTTCACTATATCATTGGTGTTCGGTTGTGCTTGCGGTCGTGCTTGGCGAGTATTATCGAGGGTTCATGGCCCAAATTTTGATCTTTCACGCATATGTGTGTCTTCGTCGAGTTTGTGGATTCCCGGTTATTATTCCTCCGAGACGCGTACATGTGGCCATTACTCGGTGCCTAAGGACGGGATTCTCTTATGCTCTCAAATGTAATAGTGCCCGGTTGGCTAATGGATCGATATGCTTTTATTGTTCACTCGTTCGGATGACGTTATTTTGCACTCGAGGACATTCGGATCATTTCTCGTTATTCCCACCGGACAAACACCATTAAACACACGGTGGTGCACCACCGTGTAGAGTACGCGCTTTCTTTTCTTTTTCCTATTTTCCCTTTCTCTTTCTTTTTATTTGATTATGTGTTTCTTTTCTTTTTCTCGTTTGTCTAGTTCGTTTGTTTTTATTTTTTTTTTATTGTCTCGCATGAGCTTGTGTGATTACGTGCTCTTTCCTATGCTTTTTGGGTCAAGCAATGAGGGCATTGCTTTGTTTTAAGTGTGGGGGAGGGGTTTGCGTGATTATGCACGCTTTAGGCGTATTTTCTTTTCGTTTAGTTGTGTCGTGGACCGGTTTTGTTTGTTTTTTTTGTGTTTCGTTTCGATTTCCCCATATGAGAATTGATGTGAGTCCAATTGCTCGGAATGACTAAGTGGCTAGATTGGATTGTCGTTTGTGTTCATTATTAACTCTCATGCTTTATGCACTCAATGATTTTGACGGTTTTTATAAAATGAAATGATTATTCGTTAGCATTGGAACTTGCATGTGAATTCTCGAGACTTTCTTGTCCTTTGTTCGTTCTTGATTGAGGATCTTGATCATGCTTGTCTTATGTTCGAGTGTTGATTAAACGTGTTATGCTATACACTTTGTGTACGTCGTGATTGAGTTTTGATGATTATGATTGTATTCGTGATGTACCTTTGTGTGCCACCTCCCTAAAAAAAAAAAAAAAANAAAAAAAAAAAAAAAAGAATAAAAAGTGAGTTCGCGAGGAAGTATGAATTAGGCTCCTCTTATTCTGAGCCACTTAGTGGATTGGGATAATGAGCCCGGGAAACCGGTCTAGGAGACTCGAGGAAACCCCTCGAGGTTAAACCTAGGGAATCTCGTCCGGAAACCTCGTTTGGAAAGAAGAAGCTCATGAAATGAGTTCGTGGGAGTCGAAAGGATTAGGCTCCTCTTGGCTCGGTTAATCTTCTAGATAGATCGGGTCAATGAGCATGGGAAACCGGCCTAGGCGACTCGGGAATAACCCCCGAGGTTAATCCTAGGTAATAATCGTCCTAACGGCTTCCATTTGGAAAAAGTGACTCATTTAAAAAAAAAATATAATATGAAAAAAAAAAAAATGAAAAGAAAAAAATGGGGGTCGGCTTATGGTCTCGATTCTATTATCCTATGCATTGAGTAGTCCATTTTTGAGCTTTTTGCACGTGTTTATTGTAGAAGGAAGTTTGCATTGAGTAAATCATGATTGAATAACTTGGGACTTGTTTTTGTTTTGTTGGATTAACATGTGAGAACCGTGCTCTCGAGTTTGAGTTTTATTTTGTAAATAACCGAGTGATTAGGAGAGTACATAATGCATGTTTGTTGATCTTGGACCGCTCGATCTCTCCTTTCAACACTACTTGTTGTTTTGTTTGCTTGAGG